ATTTCCTTCGGTCATATGCGCTCACTGCAAGTCCGTCTTACGCGATAAAAGCGATCGGTTGCCTTGGTCGATCATCTTATCGTTCGCGCCATTTTCATTCGCGCCAGCCTGCCTGTCGCCAAACGCGTGCGAACAGTCTGGCACGTCAATGAAGAAGTTCTCATTGTTTGGACGGGGAAAGTTTCACGAGCATCGGAACCTTTCGGAGCCAGCAATTGGACAGAGCACGACTTGTTGCGAGAGACTTGGTCTTTTGGGACGAGGTCAGCGTGAGGTCAAGCTGGGAGCAAGCAGTTATGGAAGGAAGGAAGCATCGTTTTTTTTCCTGTTTTGCCCGCTATGACTTCATCATCAGCAAAATGAGGAATATCGTTTCACGAAAAATCGTTGCCGATACTCAACGCGGCAATAACATGACTTTAACCCTCGCCATGATAGATGGTGATTATGGCACGCGTTTTGATACCAAAACGTGTTCCTAGATTTTCTGGTTTCGGAGCAGCGGCAGTTTGTGATGAGCACTCGACGGCGATCTATGGCTGGCTCAGGCGGCGGGCGGCAAGAGAATCGCACTACAGAATGCATTCAGAATCGAATAAGGCACACGCCAAGTAAGTGTTTGTGTCACTGCAAGGCTTGTTCTCGTCAACATAAAATAAAGCTACAAAGTGCTGTTTTCTGTAAAATTCGACTTTTGACCCGTCAACAACATAAAACTAGCGCCGATCGTGAGGTCATATTCAGAATACTACTGCTGCTCTCGGCAGGCTCTATCTTTATAAGCTTGGAAACGCCGGGGGAGGGTCGCATCAACCCCCCCCCCCCCTTCCTCCCTCTATCAGTCCGAGTTATGCAAAACGGCGAATCAGGACGATGGCTGAGACATACAACGTACTTAAACATACGTACAACGTACATGCAGAAGGGATGTTACCATCAGCCACATATGTACTGAGCGTAACATGGCATGAATCTACATTTTTGCACTGCAATCTGTGGGTGTCAAAGCTCTCCCGTTATATCACTCTGGTCATAATTCGGTCAGCTATTCCGGAGGCTAGAGAATCTTCATAAGAAACAGAAAATTGCACGATATGCTGTCATTTCCACCGAAAGAGGCATCTAAGTAACTTGTCGTCGCCAATCACGAAAACATATATGGTGCATGTGAGCATTTCCTGTGGCAGTGTTTTTGAGACATAAGTATTTTTGAAGGTGTATTTACATTGCTCTACCATAAGACTGTCGTTAGTGAACGGAGTCACACAATGAAGCTAATTTTCGATAACAAATCCGATCGACTTAACCTCCAATGGCCCTTCGTATTGGCCGATTCTGGACCACTGCCTAGCGCGAAATCTGATGCATGGCTTAACCGCATGTCCCGACTGAGCAGCCAGGAGGTTCCACGAGTTTACTAGAGAGGGCTTTTTTAGCCGCTAGACGCTGCTACGGTGTTGTCGGAATTTTTATTTGGCAATAATTTTGCTCTTCTCATTCAGTATGGTCTTTTTTAGACCTCACGGTTCCGAAAAGAGCTCCGCAAGGGGTTGCTGGACCCCTCGACCTTCTCCAACCCCCTCCCTCCCTCTTCAACAGCCAGACCCCAATGGAGTTTTCAGCCAAGACTTGAGACCCCATACATTTCTCGATTGGGGCTGAGGACCTTTCCGTTTCCTTTCAGATTGCCAATCGGTTGTTATTACTACACATTATACATTTATACATTGGTCCCCTCTCTGACGCCGAATACCCTCTGACCGGAATGGCTGACCCTGGATCAACGTGGGGCCACTCAACATTTCAAAAAGCTCCCAAGAGCAGCGGGTTTAATAAATAGCGCAGGGATTCCAGTTCGACGCATTTGGGATCTAGAGAAAACGGGCAGAGGGACCCTGTCCGGTGCTGGTTCCTGATTGACATGAGGCTCTTCCATTAAAGCGCCCGCCAAGAAGGAGAGGAGAGTAGGCGGCTCCGGTTCAGCACGAGCGAGATCCCGAGATGTCCGACACGTCCGAATGGCCGGTCCGCCGGAATGTGTACAGAGGCGAACCGAGTGAAACCGAGTCAGGGGCCTCAGGCTCTGACGTGAAGACGGCGGCGTGCCCGACTGAGCTGGCAGCGTTTCGACCGCGGATGGGCTGCCCCACGGACGGGCCTGGCGCGCGTGTGGCGGGGTTCGATTCTTAGGCGAGGGACGGCGCGCTTGTGAATGCGTTTTTGGCGGCCGGGCTGCCTCGTCCGCAGCCCGCCGCGGGCATGGCTGCCGGCCGGACCGTCGAGCTGGGCAGCCTCTGGGCTGGCCTGTGTGTCCGAACTCCGCGTCCAACCGATTGCACATTATTATTCCCACATATATACAGTGATTAAGCGGAAGCAATGTCCGCAAATTTGGCTGCGGCGGTTTGTTTGTCGGTATGGGCTTGTAATACCGATTGGGGCTTTACGTCTCACCGGCTGTCATGGCTATTTCGAGGCGGAACGCCTCTATTACGCATTTATCAAGCATTGGGTACGTGGGATGCGATAGTGGTTCGGCTAGGACTCCATCCCAGGATAGAAAAGTCCAGAGATGGCACCCTAACCACTAACCACCATGCCACCATCGCCCCTCTGCGGCGCGAACTGCACCCGTCTCGATAAACTCCAGACTGGTGCTGCTGGACCCCAAATTCTATACTGAGCAGGTTCTGAAGTGTAAAAGGAAGAAAGCGTGTTAAGATTGATGAAGTGAATGGCGAAACAAGCTCACGATTCTCCCAATTCATTCAGCTTATCTATCGCAAACCAGTTCAGTGAAGTACGCTCGGCTCCGCTGTTCAGATGGTGGATCAACAGCGCCGTTAAGCGCGGCACGTGCGTAGTGTTTCGCGTGACGGTTGGCAGGCAGTTGAATGCATTCGCAGTCAACGTTTGGTTTTTTACTTCCTACTTACTTGCAACCAGGAATGCGGTTCCCTATTCAGTTGCTGTGGTGTGATTGTGCGGGGTGAGCGCCCTCGCCCTCGCTGTCTTCCGAGCTCTACATCTGACTGGGTGCCGGGGGGCGTCACGTGACCGCGGGTCTCCCAATTCGCTGGGGGTCAAGGGTCGGTCGCTGAGGAGGCGGCAGGGACCCGACGCTCGCAGGTGCCAGTCGGTTTTTGGACGAGTGCAGGCGAATACACGCTACGTTCTTTTACAAGCTATTTCGGCCATCATGCCCGAAACCGCCTCGGCCAGTGGCGACGCTGGCACAACGGCTGTTGCGAGTGTCCCAGCGCCAGTGATGTTGACTTCAACGGCCGGAGTGGACAACGAGGCCGCGGCGAACGGTGGAGGTCCATTCGACGCGCGACTCATCCCCGAGTACGATGGCATGGCCGACGTTGTAGAGTGGTTCACGAGGGCGTGCCGTGCTCTGCCTTCATCGTGAGCAGGACTTGCCCAGCATTCTGCCGGCGCGACTCACGGGTGGTGCGTTTGCCGTCTGGCTGCAGATGCCGGAGGAGGCGCCGCGCATCGAGTGGACGCCGTGCGTGACGCTCTGTACGACGCCGTTGCGATGGGTTGGTTTGCAGCGTACGACGCATACACCAGTCGAACGGCTGCTGCCTGGTGAGTCGCCTGACGTGTTCCTGGCGGACCTACGGCGTCTCGCAGCTCTGTGCGGTGGGGGTTTCCGGAAACGTGGCCCACCTACGTTTTTGTCGCCGGCCTGCCCGACAAGGTGCGGAGGATTGCCCGCGCTGGCTCCCGGGCGGAGGCTTGTAGTCTGGCGAGCATCTGGTGCGAGCCCGTGCAGTGGCTGAGCAAACGAACTTGCCGGTGCGGCAGCGGCAGCTGGCTGGAGCGCACGAAGAATTGGGGAACCCGACAGGTGCGACCGGCAAGGCGACCTGTCCGGAAGTGCTGGACCTGCGGACAGGCGGGTCGCCTGCCAGCGGCGTGCCCAAACGGGCGGGTGGCTACGTTAGCGCTAGCGCAGTCCCCGAGCAGTACTGCACGCTCTACCAGTCGCGACATTGCTGGTGGAACCAGCGCCCCCGGCGTGCCCTGCTCGACAACGGGATGTACGGACACCCTGGTTCACGTGAGCTGCTGCCGCACGTGGCGCCCGTGCGCGGTCAAGATGCCAACGGTGAACGATAGAGTGTGCGGTGCGTGGCAGCACCGCCCAGGTGACGTTCGGCTACAAGAGGCAAGCGAGTAATGCCCGCGGCGCTGGTGGTTCCGGATCGTCCCATTGGGGTTGGACGTGCTGATCGGCATGTCCTATCATCACCCGCGTTAGGAGGCATCAGTGTTCGGTCCCCGATTGACATGCTGGGGTGCGGCAACGCAGGAGGCGCCGGAGTCGGGCAAGTGACGAGCCGGCATGCGGTGCGGCGGCGCCGGGCAGAGGCACGCGAAGCCTCACTGGCGTTGGAAAGCGGCGGATTTCGGGCCTCGGTTCGACGGCGCTCACTGGAGTGTGGCGTGGAAGGCCGGCTGAAGCACAAGAGGCATACGAACGCGAGTTGGCTGAGTGGGTGGCGAACGGATCTGGATGGCTCCGGCCCTATGACGGGCACAAGGAGCCTGCTCGGAGCCTGATCCCCTTGATGGCAGTTCAACAGCCGCACAAGGGGAAGGTCAGGCCGGTGTTGGACCACCGCGAACTCAACCGGCATGTGACCGCGCACACCGCGGATGCCGACGTGTGCGCCGAGCAGCTGCGCCGCTGGCGCCAGCGTGGTGCCCGGTTGGCCGTGGTCGACCTGCGAAAAGCGTACTTGCAGTAGCGTCTGGAGCGCCGGCTGTGGCCGTACCAGACGGTGCGGGTCAGGGGCCGCACTACAGCCTCACGCGGCTCGGATTCGGCCTCAATGTGCGCCGTTATGAAGGCCGTTGTTCAGGCGGTGCTGCGTGAGGACGAGGCGATCAGCGGGGAATGCTCGCCTATGTGGACGACCTGCTCGTTGACGAAGACGTGGTCAGCGCCGACAGGGTGGTGAGCACTTTGCGAGGTGCGGGCTGACCTGCAAGCTGCCGGAGCGCGTCGTGGACGGAGCGCGAATGCTCGGCCTTCGAGTCGAGGCTCGGGATGATGAGCTGCGGTGGTGTCGAGACAATGAGGTGCCTCACCGCCGACCGAGCTCACCCGGCGTGCATTGTTTGCGTGGTGCGGGCAGTCTGTGGCGCCGCAACCATCCCTTGGTGGGATGGTTGCGGGCCAGCAGCTGCCTGGCTAAAGAGGCGAGTGAACGGCCTGACGATCGGGTGGGACAACCCAGTGTCGGGTGATGCGCTGCGCGCGCACATCCAGGAGGTCTCAACGCGGGTGAGGGCAGCTGACCCTGCTCGTAGGGCCGTGGCGAATGGTCGGCCGGGAGCTCGTGGTGTGGACTGACACGAGCGCCATCGCGAACGGAGTAGTCCTGGAGGATACGGAGGGCGGCGTTCTCGAGGATGCCGCGTGGCTCAGGCCAGAGCCCAAGGCGGCGGACCACAACCAACGTGGCCGAGTTGGACGCGGCGATGAGTGGCGTGAGCATGGCCCTGGCATGGGGCGTTAAGCGCTTCAGCTTACGCACGGACTCGGCCAGTGTTCAAGCGGTTGAGTGACGTCTTAAGCGGACGTTCTCGTCCCACTACAAAGGCGCAGGGGGAGATGCTGTTCAGACGCAGGATTGGCCTCATGCGGCAGTTGGTCGACGAGTTCCAGCTCTTGGTGACCGTCCAGCTGGTGCGGTCACAAGACAATCCTGCCTACGCTCTCACCTGAGTTCCCCAGACCTGGCTGTGAGCAGAGCCTCGAGATGAGATTTCAGCCGCAGCAGCCGCCGCGCCAAAATGTTTCACGGCACCCCCGCGAAATACGACTTCGGTCTCCGCGACTACCAGGACGGAAGAAGTCGCGGCGCCCCCGGCGGACCAAGAAGCCACTCACGAGCCCACGGCAAGCGACATTCGTGCCCGGATTAAAAGCATACACGAACGGACGGGGCACCAGGGGATCCGCCGATCCCTATGGTACGGCAGACGGGACCTTGGCGGACATGTCGCACGGTCCGACGTGCGAGCCGTCGTCAGCCAGTGCGATGTGTGCGTTCGATTGATCCGGCGCCAATTAGCTGGCGGTCCGGCTCACTCGGCGTCCCGACAACGTGGACCCGACACGCGATCGACGTGACCCATTGCCAAGGCCGCCTCTACCTCACGATCGTAGACTGCGGGCCGTCCCGGTACAGCATTTGGAGCGCACTGCGACTATCTGACTCGGCAGAAGGGACGGATCACCTGCATCGAATGTTCCTAGAACGCGGCGCGCCGGCTGAGCCTCCGCTGGGCAATGCCACTGAATTCCGGAGTCGGCGCTTGGCTGCTTTCGCCGCGAAGTGGGGGGGTTTGGCCGCGGTTTTGCGCGGTGCACGAGGCCGGCGGCAACGGAATCGTGGAGCGCCACCTCTGAACTATAAAGGTGATGGTCGCCCGCCAGCGGTGCTCCGTCAGTGAAGCGGTGCGTCGGTACAATGCGACCCTGCGGGGCGGTGCTAACTCGCTGAGCGCGCCGATGGCGCAGATGTTCCGCGCAGCCGGTGCCGACCTGCCGACCGGCCAGTGCGCTGCCCAGCCCGTACCTCCGCTGATGCAGGAACCCGTCTCGTCGTCGTTTTGCGTCGGCAATGCGGTGTGGATGTGGCGCCGGGGGCCCGCCACGGGGTGTGCCGATGTGTCGCGCCAGGGCGTAGTTGCGCGGGTAGTACCGGATCAGGTGGTTGAGGTCGACGGCACGCCTTGGCACGTGCGGTGCCTGCGGTGCCGAAACTCGCAGAAAGGGTCAGACGGGAGCCGAATGCCCGGCGCGGGTGAGGAGTTTGGGGACGACACAGGCACGCTGCCGAGGGCGAACATTGTGTCGAATCATGAGTCCACGGGGGGTGGTTCAGGTCCGCCTGCCGTACGATCAAGCCCGTTGGTCGCGGACCCCCGCTGAGCACCTATCGCTACCGTGGAGCGATCGCGATGAATTGTCGAGCGCCAGGACAAATTCTCAGTCATTGTGCTGTGGTGAGCATGAATTGGATGAGTGCGGTGTGCGCAAAGATGACTTGTTCGTGTCCAGCAACGGTGCGGCGCTACCACCGCCTCGGCCGGACCCTCCACAGGGTGAGAGAGAGAGTCGCAGGGACTGCGGAGGAGCGATCGCGCTCTCCGGCAACCAGTCGAGTTGTACGGCTTCAGTGTTCCCACCGATCTCATTGACGATGGCGAGTGTTTGTAGATTGGTAGAGTGGCATGATTGCTTACAATCAGGTGGAGGTGTGGTGTGATTGTGCGGGGTGTGCGCCCTCACCCTCGCTGTCTTCCGAGCTCTACATCTGACTGGATGCCGGGGGACGTCACGCGACCGCGGGTCTCCCGATTCACCGGGGGTCCAGAGTCGGCGGGTCTGGGTCTGGTTCAAGGGTCTGAGGCGGCGGCAGGGACCCGACGCCCGCAGGTGCCTGTCGGTTTTTGGAGGAGTCCAGGCGAATACAAGCCTCTTACACGCCTCTTACACGTTATCTTACAGTTGCAGGGGGTTCATCCCCGCCATAACTCGGGTTGCAGCCTGCAGATTTGTGAGAAAGTGAGCCAAATTCGGAGAGAAACGAATTCGTTGGCATATTATCACGGTACTCTTCGTTGTATTTTCATCGTTCAGCCAACCAACTTATTTTGGTAAACCGCGCCCGTTTGAAACGTACTTAAAACGTGAGAGTAAAGGCATGTAGAATTCAGAATAGGTCTCGTTTGCAGGAGCGTGTAAAAAATTGCAATTGGAGAAGGGAGGAGAATTAGTCAAATAAAATTACTAACAATATAGGTTAGCGTGCCAGGAGCCGGAAATCTATATGCGCGGCTACCTGGAGCAGACATCAAATCAGTCAGCCATACACATCAGCCGTCAACTACTCTAGAAAATTAGAAACATCACCAACACATACAGTAAATGACGAAGCCAAATACTGCGGAGAATATTATTCGTAGCCCACAATACCAAACAGCAGGCAACCCGACAAGTGCTTTCCACGATTACCGTGCAGCTACTGCTAAATAACTAGCTATTTCCGATGCCACGAGCCAGGGATCAAAGTTTTAAATTATTTGATACGCCTGCTGCCAAGGGTCCGACGCGGCAAAGTTTGTGCGCTCAAAACAAAACATCCATATCCACGTACAGTAGGGTGTGTCGTCAGCAACAAAACCAAACGAGCCGAAGAAATTGTTTGTCTGGAGTCCACAAGTAAACGGTATAGCAAATGTTTTTTGCGAGAAAAAAAATTACATTCGTGAGACGCGAGTCGATCGCAGCAGCGCCGTAAACCGACGACCGGCGTTGCAGTCACCCAATGCTGGGCGACGTCCGCCGCCGCAGGTAACACCAACCCGTGGGCGGCAACCGACACAAAATACCTTTGCGTAAAGAAAGGATGCTATTGAGCGCTCCTTAAGCCGTCGTTCGAGAATGTCTCGGCCTAAAGTCTAATATGCGGATCAGGCATTGCCCGACTGGTTGTCTTTTGGCGGAAACTTGATGTGCTGTTGAGTATGAACTCGTACAAATATGCTGGTTAGCATTGTTTTAGACTTTCACTTCTCTAGGACAACTCACATGGTGCAAACAAAACCATGTATAGGATATGACTCAGAATATATTGTCTGGTGTAGAACTTAATACATACAGCGAGTACTGCAGCCTGTACCAGGGACGTACATGGGGGGAGGTAGGGTGACCCCATACTCATCTTGCTCCCTACTGAGCCTGTGTAGGCGATGCACCAGCCCAAAACAGCAACTGCTCACAAGCTGGAAACCCAAAACTCGTGTTGGCGGAGATCGCACGGTAGCAGAAATACTTTCGCACCTGGGCTCCACATATTGTCGAAGCTTCAGCTCCAGCCCCAGACGTCCTCGGCAGTGCGGCGCTGCGTCGCACTCCTAGTGTGAACCAGACAGGGCAAGATGGCCAGCGGTGCCTGCACTTTGTTCCGCAGCACGCAGTCGCTGAGGTTTCGCGGTGGGGGCTGTGTGACTGGTCTGTGCCAGGGAATCAGTTCGGTGCACCTTACGGCCTTGAAATTTACCGCTGAGATGACGAAGACCCTGGGCTGAAGAAGACCCTCGGTTTGTTGCTCACGAGCGGCGCAACGATCGCCTGTTTGCGGACCATGCGGTGCTCATGCCACACCATGTCCAGCAGCAGCTGTTCCGGACGGACCCATTACACGTTACGCTGGAGGACTGCCTGCGCCGTGACCTATGTGTGCTGCGTCAGGTCGCGGAGCAGCACGATGCTCCGGAACAAGTTGCGTAAGCCAGAGTCGCAGCCGCTGTTTTGCCGGATGGCGGACCATACCGGCACATAATGGCCGACCACGCACTGGACGAGGTTCTTGAGAGCGCTGCCGGAAGTCTCGGTAGAGATATGGACAAGGAGCAGACCAGCGACCAGTGTCAACCGTCTAAAAACTGAAGCGAATATATTAGAACAATTTGTTACGAACCGAGCGCAAGATCATATAAAAATTATTGCGCCTCTTTAATGCATGTAATTATGCCGATGTCCATATTCCTTAAATGTGACTGAATACATTTCAACAATATGCTAGTAAGCATGAACCAACCAGCAAATGATGCGACATACTACGGCACAAGATATGAGAATAAGCGAATACTCAACAGTGAGCAAATGAAAGTTCGATTGATACTTGATGGACTTTAAACACTCGTTGCTATAAATTCGAAGATAATACGTATTCATATTTACCTGACTTGGTTCCATGGTCTGATTCGCCGCTGGGCTGCCACGTTTCGGACAAAACCGTTTTAAACGCCGGAGGCCAGAAGGTACGGCAGTTGCTGGTTGGTGCTCAGCTGTTGAATCAGGTCGACCGGCAGGTTCGGCACGTGCCCCGAACTAGGTTTGAATGCCACAACGTCGCTCTCCCAGACCTCCCAGGCCCAGGTCTTGTCGATGGGTCCAGAAAAAATTTCGATCCTGTGGTTGTGCCGTCCAAGCTCAGCACCAGATGGAGGGGGTTCAGCTCATTGCCGTGCAGCTGGCAGATGAGCCAGTGTACGCGTTACTCGATGGGCAACTCAAACAGCCGGAACACGCCGTCTATCGTTTCGGTGTTGACGGCCGTGCCATCGTAACCGGGCGCTTTCATGTGACCGTCGCACTGGGGGCTCATGGAGTGTAGCCCATTGAACAATTACAGGGCGCAGCCGAAATCTCAAACCTGACTCGCGGATTACTCTAGAATTTTAACGAGTCGTCTCTTTTCTCCCTATGTCCCTTGCGCAGCAGATCCTCCTAGGATCTAGGATATTTGATTTCAAGTAGCCAGTCCATCTTTGCTGTCTTGTTGAAAGGCGATGATAACAGCAGCGACCCGTTTCGAGCCACTGTAGCTGTCAACCGCCAGTGCGGTGTTAGTCACATCGTTAACGTTATAATGTATAGTGACAGTGGTCTCAACCGGAACGAACAATCGGCGTCGTCGCCAACTTCCACCATGTACGGAACCGCGAATGAATACAAGAATCTGTGGTTTCGGCTGACTCGCCAGCGCTGAGACCACTTGGTCCTGGAGCAAGCTCGGGGTCAGCACTAGCAGCCAGCGCTGGCTCAGCGGGCGGTGCGGGTCCAGCAGTCGGCGGGGAAGGCGACTCAGGCTCAGCAGCAGGCACCGCCTCACTGGCGGCCGAGCCACGACGCCCCCGGAGTTGTCTGGCCACCCTCCGCATCTCGCGAGCCTCCTAGTCACAATCGTATCCCGGTCATATGACCCCAGGGTAAGCTTCTGGTGTCTGTTCTGGTCCTTCATGGCAACCTCCCCCTGATACACTGTGCAGGCAACTGGGCATGGAAAGCTGCGCTGAGACTTGCACTGGCATTTCGCGACATCAAGAAGCTTGCTGAATTTCGCGGTGGCGGCGTTGCTGTGTCACTCCTTTTCTTTCTTTGGTTTCCTGCTGATAGCTCTGTTGAGATTACATCAGTTCTTCTTGATAAATTTGGTCACGCATTTTAGATCATGAACAGGGATTGCTTCGTTGGTCCACAGTACTCTTATGTCTACCGTCGCGGCCTTGAAGATGGTATATATGAGATTTCTCTTCGATTCGTTCGGTCACCTGATGTAGCTCAAGGCTTTCCCGTAGTCGGCAGCTGGTGATGGGACAATGGTGTCGGGTGGCCTGCCACAAAATATTTTATGCGCGACCGTGTAGCCTTTGGAACGCTCATGGAAGTTATTGTTCGAAAGAAATGTTTCCGTGTCAGCAAAACTTAAGTAATAAGCCCATATATCCCACGCAAAAAGCACACAAATTGCATATCAACATCATAACGATACGTTAGCAATAACAAACTTGAGCCTAACCCGGTCTGCTGGGGCATTCTCATAGCTGCACAGCTTTGGGTTTTACCAAAAATAAACGCTCTTTCCTAAAAGTTAGCTTAAAACTGTTGTCAATGTCTTGCTGGTGCTCTTTATGATATTATTTCATACTTAATCTGCCATGTACCAGTAGTGTCGAAAGTGGCAGCTTTGAGACTTGCTGGAGGATTATCCCAGTGCGTAAAATAGGTGGCGCTGGTATCGAATGCGGTTTTCTTGGCCTATCAAAGAAAATCTGCTCTCGCCTCACGAATATCAACATCGGTGCGGTGCGACAGACCTGAAAGTTTATCATTAATCCGTGTGCAAAGGAAAAACTTTGTCTCAGCTGATTCCAAGAGATTTGTCCCCTCGATGACAC